CTTCGTCAGCCTATCCACGACGACCATCACCGCGTCGTTACCCCCAGGGTTCGAAGGTAACCCTGTGACGAAGTCCATGGTTACTTGCTGCCAGGCGCGTTCGGGCGGTGGTATCGGCTGCAATTGACCCGCCTTCCGCTTCCTTGAACTCTTTATCACCTGACACGTAGGGCACGAGCCCACGTGCTGCTGTACGTCGGTCAACAGCTCCGGCCAGTAATAGTACCGCTGCAGTTGCTGTCGTGTTTTTTCTACCCCGAAATGTCCCGAGGTAATCCCGTCGTGTGCCTCCTGCAGCAGCAGCTCCCTCAGTAGTGAGTACGCGGGTACCCAAATGCGGTTGGTGCCCGTTTTTACGTAATAGACTCCTTTTGCTTCTGCCAGTTGCTGTGAATTTCCGGTCGTGAAGAATGGGTCGGTGCGGTATCCGTGGGTGAATAGGCCAGTTAAAAGCGGGTTGGTCTGGGCGAGTAGGATGGCGTGGAGTTGGGCGGTGGGGCGGGTGAGAGCGTCGGCGATGTTGGATGCGCCTTTTTTGTACGTAACGGTGTAGTGAAAATTGGACTCGAGATAGTCCAACCAGCGAATCTGTCGTGGGTTGAGATTCGGTTGGGCGCGAAGGTACTGTAGCGAGCGGTGGTCTGTCCGTACTGTCACGTCGGCGCCAGTCACGTAACATCGCCAAACTTTGAACGCGTGCACGATCGCTAGCATCTCGCGGTCGTGTATCGGGTAGTTACGTTCGGGCGGGTGTAGTTTGCGGGACTCGTACGCGATTAGCTGGAGGCCGTTCCCAAAGTCCTGCAACAGTACTGCTCCCACAGCGATGTCACTTGCGTCGGTGACGAGCTCGAACGGACGGTGGGGATCTGCAATGTGAAGGACGGGCGGGGAGCACAAAATAGTTTTGAGGGCCGAGAAGGCAGCTTGCTCTTTCTCCCCCCACGTGTACTCAACCCCCTTCCTCAGCAGGTCGGTCAACGGGGCAGTCAGCTTCGCCATGTCGGGGACGAACCGACGCACGTAGTTGACGAACCCCAGAAAACTCTGCAACTCGGTCAGGTTGGTCGGCGCGTGCCACGCTCGAATCGTCGCAATTTTCTTCGGGCCGATTTCCACTCCCGCAGCTGAAATAACATGTCCCAAAAACTCCAGGCGGTCCTGTAAAAACTCACACTTAGATGCTTTGGTCAGTAGGCGGTTCTCACTTAGGATTTTAAAAACTGCCTCGATGTCGTGTAAGTGCTGTGCTCTGTCAGGGCTGTAAATCAGTATGTCGTCTAGATAAACGATGACGCACTTATCTAAAAGCGGGCGGAATGCTTCGTTCATGGTCATTTGGAAGGTGGCGGGGGCGTTGGTCAATCCGAATGGCATGACGGTGTATTCGAAAGATCCGTAGCGTGTTCGGAATGCGGTTTTTGGGCAGTCGGGTGGATTAACGCGGATTTGGTGGTAGCCTCCCCGGAGGTCAATTTTCGAGAAAACCCGGGCTGTGCGTAGTTGGTCGATCAGTTCGTCGGCTCGTGGGATGGGGTAACGGGATTTGATGGTAACCCTGTTCAGTGCCCTGTAGTCGATACACATGCAAAAACCCCCGTCCTTTTTCGGTGTGAACAGTATTGGTGCGGCGAAGGGCGACGAGCTAGGGCGAATGAATTCTTTCTCGAGCAGGTAATCGAGCTGCTTCCTTAGTTCGTCTAGTTCGGGTTGGGTCAGTCTGAACTGTCGCTGTACTGCTGGCTGTGCCCCCGGTTCCAGTTCTATCCTGTGATCGTGCGGTCGCTGAGGTGGCAGTCCCGTCGGTAAGTCATCCGGGAAAATGTCACTGTATCGTGTTAACAGTGCTGCCAGATCACTCGGTACGTCGGTCAGCAGTTTCTGTAAATCCCCTCCCTTGTCTGCTGCCTCGGCTTCCCGAATGTCAACCGCGTACACGTCAGCTCCGGCCGCAACAGCGCGTTTCATCGTGATCGCATTGACACGCACCGACGAAGACGCAGGCGAGCCCCAGCGAGGTAAGGCGATGTTGTTACCGTTTACTCGCACGGTGCAGTCACCCGTCGTCCAGTCAATTCGCGGATTGTGTCGTCGCAGCCAATCACGCCCGAGTAAAATGTCGGTTCCGTCGAGGGTCGTTGCGAGCATTTCCTGACTAAACGTGAAGTTACCCCCGCATCGAATCCGAACTCGGTCTACGCGTTCCCGTATTGCCAGCGGCGTGCCGTCTACCAGTCGTGCGTCGATCTCAGGTAAGCATCGGTCCAGTGGCAGTCGCAGTTTTCGTGCTGTAGCAGTGTTAATGAGGCTGTGGCTAGCTCCCCCGTCTACGAAGATTTTAACTAAGTCCGTCCCAATTTTCCCACTGAGCAGTATAGGGCTATCTACCGTGGTACCCTCCTTATTCGGCCGGGTGTGGTCGATTGCGTAAACCGGCACAATCACTCGGTGAGGGTCGGTTGGGTCGGGCGAGCGGCGTGACCTGTCAGTAGAGGGCCCGTCTGCTACTGACTTCCAGCGTTTCCCTGCTGCTTGGTCTGTGTCTGCTGCTCAGCTTCCCCCTTTCCCTTAGCGTTTTCCGGGCATTCGCTCTTGCGATGTCCCGGCCGATTGCACGCAAAGCAGCGCCCTTTGAACGGTGCGGCAGCGGCATTTGCGGCGACGGCGCGTATCGTGGCGCTTTCGTTCGTCCCACGAGGCCGATGTCCTCAGTTGTTGTTTCCGTAGGACCCCGGTCTCGGTCGGCGAAAGAAGTCGAGCTTCTCCGCCATAGCGAGAATTTCCTGAAACTCAGTAACGCCGCGAAGCTGGATTTCCTGAGCGATGTCCTGCTTCAGGCCGCCGATGTAGCGGTCGATGCGTTCGCTCTCATGCATGTAGCCCACCTGCTCGCATAGCGCCAGAAATTCGCTCGTGTAATCCTGGACGGAACCGAGTTGGCGCCAAGTGCGGAGCTTCTGTCGCGCCGAGATCGAGGCCGCGATTGGCTCAAATCGAGCGCGCAGACCTGCGCACCACGCGTCCCACGTGCGATACTGGGGCACCTCCACGAAATACGACGGCGCCCAGGGTCCGGTTTGTCCTTCCCGTGTCGGTAGTGTCGCGTAGTCGGCCGGCTTCGTGACGATGACGCGCCACCAGTCCATGGCGGGTCCTCGCAGCAACGACACGGCGTATCGAATCTTCGCCGAGTCCTCCGAGACGTAGTTGGCGTCGAAGAAGACATTCATTGTGAACAACCACGCCTGAACGGTAGGACCACCCCGTTGACTCGGGTCAAAGCATGGCGGGCGCTGCGGCTTCAGCGGCATCGGTGACGGCAGTCCCGAATCGTGGGTTGGTGCCGAAATCGTGACGCGAGGCTGACTTGGGGCCGCATGCGTCGCTCTGGGGTGTGTCGTGCCGTGGTCGTCGTCTCCGTCGGGGCGGACGACGCCATCACTGGCCGCACTCACGGGTTGCCCCACACTCCCGTGTTGTGATGTTGAGGGTGCAGGTTGAATCGGAGTGCCAGGTGCTTGAGATTGTGCTTGTTGTGCCCTCATGAGGTCATTTTGCAGCGACGAGCGTTCTGCCGTTAATGCCGCGATTTCCTCGGAGCTTTCGTGCAGCTGTCGCAGCAGATCGTTCAAACGCTCCTGCGTGAGGGTGGTGACGTCGATATTTTCAGCCATGACGAAGGGCGTCGGCTCGTCTTAGTCTAGGCGCAGTCGTGGCTGCACGCGTTTACGAGAGAACGCGAGGACAGCGGCTCCTAGGGGCTAAGGTGCGTGAGTCCCTTCGAGTGAAAAATCAAAAGTTGATTTCCTGGTGTGCGGAGATGCGCGGTCCGAAAGAAAGGGGCTCTGATAACCAAGTGTTACGGGTGCAATGAATCGAGGTAGCGAGAATTGCACTAAGGTGTCAAACGAGTACAAAATGTGAGCGAAGGCATGAGCGAACATTTATACGCGAAACATGCAAAACGGTAACGCGGTGCGTGCGAGCTTGCTAGTGCTACGCTGGAGCGAGGCTCGGGCTAGTCCCGAAGCGTAGGCCGATACGGCCATGCCAGCAGTGCGAGGTTTGGCAAAACAGTGCGCGCGAAGTCGGCGAAGTTCCGTTAGCAGTAACGGGCGAACAATCGGCTGTTGCTGTACGCGATGTAGTCGGCCCCGTAAGGAATGCCGAGAAAATTCCTTACACACAGTCGCATTAGGGAGACGAATTAGTGTTTCACTAGTGTTCCTCGATTTCGAGTAATTACTGGAGACGAAGTTCAATGCAGTTGCTCTCCCTCTGTTCTGGGAGGTTGGTGAATTGTGGTGAAGATCGACGATTCAGCTGACCACCCTACGGGAACGTCAGTCATGACCGTCAATTCCTCGGAGAATCAAGTGTGATTCCTGTCCCGTGTCGCAACGGCGCGCTGAGGGCGAGATGCCAGCACCGCTTGGTGTCAGTTTTGGCCCAACCTCGTCGCGAGTGATGCAGAACCACGTCACCTCTGAGCCGTTGCTGGCCCAGCAAAGCCATTCCACCACCACCAACCACTCATCGCTTCGTCCACTAGCTTTATCTCATGAACGGCTGGGATGAGAGAGCAGTGTGTTCGGTTGCGTGGCGTATTCGTCCCTCGTCCATTGCACAACCAACTTCATTGCGTTTGCACAAGTGACTCGTCGCACCTCACATAGCTAGGGCAGAGATATGTCTGTCCTGTCCTCGAATTGCCAATCTAGGTTATCGTAAGGTGGTCTGTATGGTGAATTGGGCCGTGCCGCGATTAGAACGTTCAGTAGTCAACGCGATTATTATATCTTGACGTTTTAGAGGCAAATTGCTACTATCTTTCTGCTGTAGGAAGTCATCGCTGCTGCGCTAGTTGTGAATTGGCATTGTGCAGGCGACCGTTCGTGCACCCGTAATTTTTGTTTCCTCTTCGATTGCACGTCTTGATCGCCCGTCTCGTTGATCCGCGGGCTTCGTCTGTCGTCACCGGCGCGCTCAACCGCGAGGCGATGGAGTCGTTGCATGCGCGTGTGGGCGCCACCGAGACGGACATGCTGGCCAGCGTTGTGGCGCCGGCTCCCCTTACCCCGCCTCCGCTCTCGCCTCCCACAGCTCAAACGTTCCAGGTCCGCGCCTGACGCTTGCGTCTTTCCAACGACAGTTAGTCCTTGGCTTGTTGACGTCTCACCCTTCCTCTCCGTTTGCTGTGCCTTCCTTATGCATGCTCCACCTGACATGTTTGTTTGTGTGATCGTTGTCCGATGATTCCTCTTCCCTTATTCTAGCGTTGAATTGCTTTCACTATTACCTTCCATCAAGTCCTGCATCAGCCGCCTTCACCCCTATCTCCTGCGCTTTCCCCCGACAGCTCCCAGCACCGTTGCTCCGTTGCGGGTACCTAAATCGCTATCGACCATGGTATAGTCTCCCCAAACCTGTTTCATCTCGTTGCGCCCTCGCACCTGCTGGCTCGTGTGGTTTTGCCTGTTAAATCTCGCTCATCGCACCAGTGCTTCTCCCGTCGCTTCGTTCTTCAGTGTGTACCTTCCCGTACCTCTTTCCTTCTGTGATATTTTTTTCGATGGTAGGGCAAGGGTATGGGAACGCACATGGCACCGTCGCTATTTTGTGTAAGTATGCCTTGAGGCGCTTCTGCTGCTATGCTCGCGTTTGAAAGTCTTATCCAGTGATTTTCGTCGTGCTCATCATGCGCCGTGTTGCAACGTGCATGGCGGGGCGGGCGGCAGGCTGGCGGGCGACCTATTGATGGCGTGGGAGTCGGAGAGGGACACGGAGCATCGCCCTGAGGAGGCCGTGCTGCTGCACTCGTGCGTCGTCGCGCTAGAGGGCGCCAAGCCCGACGGCTTCAGCGCCACCAATTTCTTCATCTTCCGCCTCGGTGCGCTCCCGCACTCTGCACCTCCTTCTCTTTCTTCTCGATTTCTATCTCCGCCTCTTCACCGTCAGAATTGTTGTGCTGGCTTGGTGTGCTGGCCGGCCCTGTGGTGATGGTTTGTTCTATTCGTGTTTGATCGTACCATGTGTGCCAGAGGACTCACAGGGCAACATGCTGCTGCGATTGAGCTCCAGAGACGAGGCAGAGGTTTACAACTGGATGCTTGCCTTGCAGGTAAGTTTCCTTTTGCAGGCTGCTTCGCACCTCTTTTGGCTTGTATTGCAGGTAGCTTTGCCTTGCAGGCAGTGATGCTTGCCTTTGGTTCATAGATTTTCCTATTATATGCTCTGCGCCCTGTGTATTGTGTCCTGGCCTCTCCCTGCTGCTGCCGTGCAGGCGGCAGGGTGCTGTGCGCCCACATCGTCGTGCACTGCACCGCACGTGCATCAGCACCACGCCACAGGCATCACAAAGGGAATGGCGGGGTCGATGAGAGCGGAGGAGGCGGCAGGGGAGGCGTCAGAGGCGTCGGCGGGCGAGGTGACGAGCAGCAGCTCGTCCGTTGAGCGCGCTGACAGCTTCGCTGCCTCTCTGCGCCACGCCCCGCTGCATGCCGCTTCTCATGCCAGGGAGGGCGCATGGCCGGGCGGGGTGGGCGCGGCGTGGGCGCAGCAGGGGGCGGCAGCCGGTGGTAGCCACAGTGAAGCGGCAGTGGTGCGCCGGAGGAAGGGCAGGGACGAGGGCGACAGCAGGAGCTCGTGCCAGCATGAGCATGGCCGTGCTGGGCAAGGGGAGGAGGGTGCGCAGCGAGTGAGGAAGGCTGGAGAGAGAAGGGGGGTGCCATGGGTGTGTGCACCGGCTCACAAGCATGTGAGGGAAAGCCCTCTGAGCTCGGTTGCCATCTTCCAACAGGTCAGCTCGCCTCTGCTTATCCTCGCACCGCTCCTCGGTGTCACTGCCCTCCATGCCTTGTTAGATAATGCACCAACCGGTTAGGCCTCCTTTGTTTTTAATTGTTTCAATGGTCACCCTACATAGTCTATCGTGTGCAATAACTGTGTCCGTGTACCCATGCGACCATTGCTGGTGTGTGTGTGCAGAGCCATGCAGGGCTGTTCAACTTGTGCATCGTGCTGCTGGTGGCGGTGAACAGCCGCCTCATCATTGAGAACCTCATGAAGGTCACCCCCCTCCTACGCTGCTGCACCCGCTCCTGCCTTGCTCTCTTCTGTTATTAAGTATATTGTGTGAGGGGCACGGTGCTGCATTTTGAGGAGCACTTCTCGTTGTGGTGCCCACCATTCTGCGTCTTATGGTCTTGCATGCGTTCTGTCTGGTGCTCGTGCGCGAGTCATGTGTGTGCTGTCATATGTCTTAACCCCCATGCACGCGCCTGGCTCTCTCTGGTGTGCAGTATGGCATCCTGGCGCGCTCTAGCTTCTGGCTCTCCAGCAGCTCGCTGCGTGAATGGCCTCTGCTCATGTGTGGGTCAGTTACCTCAACCCTTCCACCCTGCCAAAGCTCTTTTCTTTGTGTCCTTGCATCATCATATATTTGCGTTTTCTGCTCCCCCCCTTTCCTTCTCCCCGTCCTCCACCTGCTGCCTCTCTCTCTCTCTCTGTCTTTCTCTTTCCCACCCCTCTTGACCGTCCATGCTCTCATTCGCCTTCCTCCCGACCCTCGCTGCCCTGCCTTTTATTGCAAGCTGTCTGTCGTTTTCCAGGCTGAGTCTGGCAGCGTTTCCGCTAATGGCGCTCTGCATTGAGAAGCTGCGCGCACACGGCTACATCACTGAACAGGTGCCGCTCCTATGCGCCACCCGCCCATTCCCTTGCCTGTCGTACTGCTGTCAGTCACGAGTGTGTTTCATTCCAGTGCTGTTGACGCGGGCTTATATTATTGCATGGCCTTGCCGTGTGCCCCTTGCAGGTTACGGCATTGTTGCATGTTGTCAACATTGCAGGAGAGTTTTTCTACCCAGCTATCGTCATCAACAGGCATGTAACTCGAAGGTCCTCGCTGGTTTAACGACCATGCACCTCTATATCAGCGTTGCACATTCGTACGTCGTGTCCCAGTTCCACTGTAATCAGTGCATGACACCTTCTTTCCTGCAGGGTGCATTCTCAGCCGCTGGGCGGCTTTTTGCTAATATTTGTGGCGGTGACTGTGTTCATGAAGCTCATCTCGTACGCGCACACGCTGCATGATGTGCGCATGAAGCTGTCTGAAGGCCACCAGGTGCACATCAAACACTGCTCTGCTCTTCACCATGCTTGCCATATGCTCGCACGCCGCACATCCCATTTGCTGCTTCCTGTGCTTCCGGGCTTATGTAAAGGGCGCTTCTCTCCACTGGTCCTTCCTTGCTCACTAGCCTTGATAAACGTTTCTCTGTTTCCCATTGCCCACTGATGTGCTACCGTTGTTGGTACATGGCAGCTGGTGCCTGCAGCAGGGGCGCCAGTGGTGCAGTACCCTCTGAACCTCACAGTGGGCAACCTCTGCTACTTCATGGCTGCGCCCACCCTCTGCTACCAGGTACGCCACCTCACCACATCACCCTCTGCTACCAGGTACGCCACCTCACCACATCACCCTCTGCTACCAGGTACGCCACCTCACCACATCACCCTCTGCTACCAGGTACGCCACCTCACCACATCACCCTCTGCTACCAGGTACGCCACCTCACCACATCACCCTCTGCTACCAGGTACGCCACCTCACCACATCACCCTCTGCTACCAGGTACGCCACCTCACCACATCACCCTCTGCTACCAGGTACGCCACCTCACCACATCACCCTCTGCTACCAGGTACGCCACCTCACCACATCACCCTCTGCTACCAGGTACGCCACCTCACCACATCACCCTCTGCTACCAGGTACGCCACCTCACCACATCACCCTCTGCTACCAGGTACGCCACCTCACCACATCACCCTCTGCTACCAGGTACGCCACCTCACCACATCACCCTCTGCTACCAGGTACGCCACCTCACCACATCACCCTCTGCTACCAGGTACGCCACCTCACCACATCACCCTCTGCTACCAGGTACGCCACCTCACCACATCACCCTCTGCTACCAGGTACGCCACCTCACCACATCACCCTCTGCTACCAGGTACGCCACCTCACCACATCACCCTCTGCTACCAGGTACGCCACCTCACCACATCACCCTCTGCTACCAGGTACGCCACCTCACCACATCACCCTCTGCTACCAGGTACGCCACCTCACCACATCACCCTCTCCTCTCATGCTCCATTGCTGCTTGCTTTTATGTCAGCCAGTGCCTTGTTTTTTTCAGCCCGTCTCACTGTTTGTAGCCTTTTCTGTATCGCACTCTGTCCCCCCGTACACGTGTGCGTTGTTGATTGTGTGGCAGCTGGGGTATCCTCGAGCACCGCATGTGCGCAAGGGGTGGCTGCTGCAGCAGGTGGTGAAGCTACTGACTTTCACAGGGCTCGTGCTCTTCATCATTGAACAGGTCCGCCCCTGCGCCCACCACCTCCTTCCTTCACCCTCCCTCTCTTTCGTATCTCCACCGTGTGAGGTTCTCAACTCTTACATGCAACATGCTCAGCTAACGTTGCACTCTTCTTCTCCCTGCCTTCCTTTGTCCATGAATGCTTACTTGGTTGGTCTGTGTGGCAGTACATCAACCCCATTATCAAGAACAGCCAGCACCCCCTCAAGGGCCACTCTCTCTACAGCATAGAGCGCGTCTTGAAGCTCTCCATTCCCACCCTCTACGTGTGGCTCGGCATATTCTTCTGCTTCTTCCACCTCTGGTCAGTCCATGAAGCCCCCACTCATCCCTGCTCTGCCCATGCCTACACGTCTCCACTCATCCCTCCTTCCGCCATGCGTGGTCTCAATGAAACCCTGTCCGTGCGTGTGTGCATGGGTGGGTGGCAGGTTGAACATCCTGGGCGAGTTGCTGTGCTTTGGGGACAGGGAGTTCTACCGCGACTGGTGGAACGCCAAGACCATAGAGGAGGTGCACTCCCGTTCCCCACGTTTCCTTCCCCACGCTCAACAATGCCTCGTCCCTTTGGAGCATGCTCGTCATGCCTGCCTTCACACTGTGCTCTGTTATATCCGTTCTGTGCGTGTGTGCTGGTGCCTGTGTGTGCATGTATGTGTGCGGTGCACCTGTCACCGCCTGCAGTACTGGAAGCTTTGGAACATGGTAAGTGTCTCTCATGTGTGCTGGCTTCCATTCACTTACAAGTCTGCCTTTTGTCCCATGTTGACCACTGGGCACATCTGACACCAGTCAGCCACCATGCTCACCTGCCACCCCTGTGCCCCCCACCAGCCTGTGCACCGGTGGATGGTGCGCCACATCTACTTTCCCTGCCTCTCCATCGGCCTCACCAAGGTGCTTCCCCAACCCCCCTCATGCCGTCAAGCCAGTGTGTTGCATGCCTTGATCTCGCTGTGCATATGCATTGCAGCACCTTCCAGCTGCTCTCCACTGCTCACGGTCCAGTTTGTTTAACGGTGCTGACATGCGGGTGATGTGTTGTGATGTGATGTGTGTGGGGTGCATCGCAGCCACTCGCAGTGTTCGTGGTGTTCTTCCTCTCAGCTGTCTTCCACGAGGTACACAACCTCCCTCACCTCTCATCATCCTGCCTTCCCCCCACATCATTTCACTGCATATGCGAGCTCTTCCTCGTGGTATGGACACCCATCGTTCCCTTTATCTTGCGTGTGCGTACATGGCAGGTGCTGATTGGAATTCCCTGCCACATGTTTCGCCTCTGGGCCTTCCTTGGCATGATTTTCCAGGCAAGCGCTCTGCCACTCCCTTGCCTCCATCCGTAGAATTTCCTTCTGCTCAGGGAGCCGTTTTGTGTAGGTTGCGATAGGCATGGTGATCACCAACTATCTTCACCATTACTTAAGTGTATACTGTATAGGAGTGGCATGACTGGATGGTGGTTGTCCCTTTGATACTGTGTGCTCATCTCCCTGCCCCCTGTTCCGCCCCTCAGATTCCCTTGGTCTGGATCACCAACTATCTTTACCAAAAGTTTCAAAATCCAATGGTACGGTTTCTGTGATTCATGGCTTTGCAGTCACATGCTCCTGCTTTTTTTTTTTTTAAACGCATTGATGCAGTCCCTTCCTCTGCGTTCCTTGTTCTGCACCCATAGCTCATAGCACAGGGTCGCATGATGAAGAAAAGTGCCCGTCCTGCTGCCCTGCGTTTGTTGCAGGTGGGCAACATGCTCTTCTGGTTCTTCTTCTGCATTGTGGGCCAGCCCGCATGTGTGCTGCTGTACTACCATGATGTGCAAGTCAACTCGCAGCAGCAGCTGCACCAAGCACTTGCATCCACACATTAGCTTGTTACACTAAAGCTTCCAGCACACTGAGAAGCACCTTGCGCATTGGGGTGTGTGCCAAGGCAAACAAAATTGGCTCCTTGTGTTGGTTGAGATTTGTTTTCATAATTAATTGTATATAGAACATGTACTGTACATATTACTGCTACAATCTGAGCTGTATTGTACTACATGAAGAGGATATGTTATAGTAAAATCATACAATAGCTGTAGCTGCATACAGTGTATTCGGAAGCTTCTGCAGAAGGAATAAGGTATCCACATTTGAGTTCCTCTTTGTTTTTGTTCCCTCGTCCTGCTCTGCTCATTGCGACGTGTCACGCGCCACTGAGGGAGGAGGGGCTGTGATCCGGGCAGGCAGCGGGAGGCGCGGCGGAGGGAGTGGAGGAGGCGGGCGGTTTGAGTCGAGACGACACGCGTGTTCAGCGAGGTGGTTGGCGGGCGAAAAGAGCGGAAGCTGGTGTTCGGAAGGGGTGAAGGGTAGCGGAGAGTCGTAAGGAGCGCATCTAATTTGCGCATTGCTCGTTGCTCGTTGGTGGGTGCGGTGCAGAGATCCCCGGTGTGCGCGGCGATGGCGATGGGAGACGTGGAGTTGGTGTCGCGGTCGTTGCAGTTGGAGCAGAAGCTCTTCCATCTCGACCTCAAGGACAACCCGCGCGGCCGCTACCTCAAGATCAGCGAGCGCACGGCGCTGAACCGGTCGACGATCCTGGTGCCGGTGGCGGGCGTGGTGTGGTTCGTGGATCTGTTCAATTACTACGCCAACGGCGGCGAGCAGGGCCAGCTCAACAGCAAGGAGCTGCAGCTCGACTCCAAGGTGCCACCTCCCGCACGCGCGCGCACGCTCAACGCTCTTCTCATACTTCTCAAACCTGATTCCTCTTCCCGCCCCTCTTATGCTGGTCGTTTCGAACATCTCCGTTGCACCCTTAACTCGTCCCTCGTCCCCCTCGCCCCGTGCATCTTGGTTGCGCGCGCCCCGGGCGGCCCCTGGCAGGTGTTCTACTTCGACGTGGGAGAGAACCCCCGGGGTCGATTCCTCAAGGTGCCCACCATTCCGCCTCCCTGCCCTGCCTCTACTGCCCCTCATCTTGAGCGTCGGGTCACTGCCTCTGCCAGCCGCTCTCTTGCATCCGGCTCCTTGCCATGCTCTTGTTCTCTTTCACGCCTCGCTCTGCGTTATCACTCTTCTCCTGCTGGTACTGCTTCAAAACCCACGTGTCTGACATGACATGGGGTAATCTCCACTGGCCGGAGGCTTAATCAAATGGAGATGTATATGGATAAGGGGCTGGTAAAGGCCAGTCTCTGCACCTGTCATGATGCTGGAAGTGCCTGATTGTTGTGAGCATGTTGTGGCGTGGCGTGGCGTGTGTGCTCGCACGGGGTGCAGGTGTCGGAGGCCAGTCGCATGCATGGGCGCAGCACCATCATAGTGCCTGCCACCACGGGGACCACCCCCGGCGCCACTGATGATGGCTGGGCCGCCTTCCGCAATGCGCTGGTGGAAATCCATGAGGCCTCCCTTACCCTGCCGGGCGCCGCACCTGGTGTGAGTGCTAGCAGGAACCCGTGCACCATGTCAATCTGTATCGCAGGCTGGTGATCCCACACTGGCTGGACCGCGATGGCACAAAACCTTGTGCCATTATGGCTCATACTGAGTAGCCTGTATTCTTCGTGAAATAATCAACCCGTTCGTCTCCCAAGTATGCAAATGTGCTGTGGCTCCCTTGTACGGTATGCTGCTCTCTGTCTAATTCTGTTTTTTTTCGCTGACTTTGGGGCACCCTTTTGTTATTACCACAGGTGGCAGCAGCAACGACCGCAGGCTATGATGCCGGGGCAGCAACGGCAGGGGGCACTCAGGGGGGTTTGGCAGGCGTGGGCTCTTCAGCAGGGGGTGAGGTGGGAGCGGCAGGTGCGACAGCATCGCGTGTGATAGTGGTCGACCAGAAGCGCTTCTTCCTGGACCTGGGCTCCAACCCGCGCGGCCACTTCCTCAAGATGTCTGAGGTCAGCCCAGTACTTGCCTGTGCGCAACCAGCACCTTATTGGTGCCAACCCCGTTCATGTTGACTGCCACAGTTTGCATTGCATGTTGTCTCATCCTCAGCGTTTGTGTTGTCTCTCCATTCAGGTGCTTGGTGTAGATCGCTCTTCCATCATCATCCCAGCGTCTGCAGTGGCGCAAGTGCATGACGCCATCGGCCAGCTCATAGGCGAGCTCCAAGCGCACGGAGGGTACTCCTCGCAGCCTGCTGGCCCTGTCGTTCGCACACTTGGGCCTGCACCGAAGCGCCCGGAGAAATGATGTGCATGGGGCATTACGTTCAAGCGCGGACTAAAAGTTGCTGAACTACCGTAGGTCGTTATCAGGCCTAACACAAAGAATACCGTACGAAAAGAAAAGACTGGTGCGAGGTCCTCTTTTTGAAAAGTTCTTGATTTCAGAAACCCAAGGGCTTTAAAGCCCGAGTACAGCATGGTAATTTTCAAGTTCAAGATTCTTGAACTTGAATTCGCCAAAAACAGGGTTACCCTACTTGTTTTGAAGAAACTCTAGCGACCCCAGGCAATCGTCATGCGACAACGGAACCCGAGTGCCCAAAAACAGAAACGCGATGACCGCCAATCATGTGGCACTTGTCCACCACTCACATAACTTGGACACCAAGTAGTACTCATAGACTAGGAGGCTCCAGGCAAAAACTAGCTCCAGTAGGCAAAAGCGAGTCGTTGAAAGGGTTTTTTTTTGTGGGAAATATAAAGTAGGTATCCACCTCAACCATCTTTGTCACCGCACGCTCCGATCTCCCCCTCACGTCGGCAGTCTCGAGTAACAAACCGTTCACCCGCGGCACTTACGTTAGTGAATGATCTTCACGCTACTCGCGCCGTGCATTCAATCTCGCGTCGCACTTGCTGCGAATCAGCCTCGTGTCACGATCGTACCGTTTAAGGTTCAGGTGACGCACGCTGCCGTTACTTGCGTATGTTCCCCCTCGTCGGCCGCTCTTTCCCACGTCATACCACTTTCCTTGTCGCCCGCGCTTTCCCTCATCACCCTCGCCGACCCTCGCCGCCCTCGCCTCTTGTTGTCGCCCGCGCTTCCCGTCGCCGCTCTCGCTTCCCCGTCACCCGCACTTCCCGTCGTCGCTCTCACTTCCCCGTCACCCGCGCTTCCAGTCGTCGCTCTCGCTTCCCCGTCACCCGCGCTTCCCGTCGTCGCTCTCGCTTCCCCGTCACCCACGCTTCCCCTCGTCAACGGCGCTTTCCCTCATTCTCTCCGCTAGTCACCCAAGCTTCTTCTCATCTCTCTCTCTTCTCCTCAACGTCCTCGTTTCCCTCATCGCCATAACACCCTCGCTTCTCCCCGTCGCCCTTGCCTCCCCACATACCCGCCTCCATCTCCCCCACCATACACCCGCCTTCCTCCACAGAATGCCCTCAGTGGGAGGGACAGAGGGGGATGGCCCTCGTCACGCCCGCTTCTCCTCGTCACATGTTTCTCCCCTCGTCATGCGCTCTTCCCCTCGTCATTTCTCTTTTCCTCACTCTCTTCCACACTCTCTCCATATCTCCCTCTCCCATTCTCTGACTGTCCCGCCCTCTCCCGCTCTATATCTTCCTCCCTCTCTTGCTCAATCCTATTCTCTCTCTCTCCCTCTCTCCCTCTTCGGGCCTCATTTATTGGGAGGGACAGAAGAGGGGGTTCAGATGGGGGAGTGTCAGTGGGGTAGGGACAGTTGGGGAGGGACATAGGGGGGAACAGTGCCTCACGCTTTTAGGTCAGTTGCAATCACCTCCCCTCCCATCCCCCTCGTTGCCTGGCCTGCCTCTCTCATACTTCCACCCTCTCTCTTGTTTACACCCCCTCCTATTCTTTCCCCACCACATACTGCCCTCCTTCCTCCCACATGCCCCCCTCTTTTCCCCCACATACCCGCCCTCCTTCCCCCCACATACCCGCCCTCCTTCCCCCCACATACCCGCCCTCCTTCCCCCACACACCCGCCCTCCTTCCCCCCACACACCCGCCCCCCTTCCCGAAAACGGAAGCGACAGCTGGGGAGGGACAGAGGGAGAAGGACAGAGGGACAGAGGCAGAGGGGAGGGACAGAAAGGGGGGGATCCGAGGGGGAGAGACAGAGGGGAGGGGACAGAGGGGGAGGGACCGAGTGGAAGGGATTGAGGGGGAGAGCCAGAGAAGGAGAAAAGAGGTGGGGGTGGATAGAGGTGGGGAGGGTTTGCTTCCCTCACTACCCCTCCCAATCGCCCTCACTTCTTCTCCCCTCCTCTTCGCCTTCACTTCCTCTCCCCGTCGCCCTAACCTCCTTTCCCCGTCGACCTCACCTCCTCTCCCTCTGCCCTCCTTCCCCCCTCCCTCCGCCAGGCTTCCCCCCTCCCTGCGCCCTGCTTCCCCCCTCCTTCTGCCCTGCTTCCCCCCTCCCTCCACCCTGCTTCCCCCCTCCCTCCACCCTGCTTCCCCCCTCCCTCCACCCTGCTTCCCCCCTCCCTCCGCCTGCTTCCCCCCTCACTCCTTCCTTCTCCCCTCCCACCTCCCTGCTTCCCCCCTCCTTCCTCCCCGCTTCCCCCCTCCCTCCTCCCTGCTTCCCCCCTCCCACCGCCCTGCTTCCCCCCTCCCTCTGCCCAGCTTCCCCCCTCCCTATGCCCTGCTTCCCCCCTCCTTCCGCCCTGCTTCCCCCCTCCCTCCTCCCTGCTTTCCCCCTCCCACCGCCCTGCTTCCCCCCTCCCTATGCCCTGCTTCCCCCCTCCCTCCGTTAAGCTTCCCCCCTCCCTTCGCCCTGCTTCCCCCCTCACTCTGCCCTGCTTCCCCCCTCCCTCTGCCCTGCTTCCCCCCTCCCTCTGCCAGGCTTCCCCCCTCCCTGCACCCTGCTTCCCCCCTCCCTCTGCCCTGCTTCCCCCTCCCTATGCCCTGCTTCCCCCCTCCCTTCGCCAAGCTTCCCCCCTCCCTTCGCCCTGCTTCCCCCCTCCCTCCACCCTGCTTCCCCCCTCCCTCCACCCTGCTTCCCCCCTCCCTCCGCCTGCTTCCCCCTCCCTCCTCTTTACTTCTCCCCTCCCACCTCCCTGCTTCCCCCCTCCTTCCTCCCCGCTTCCCCCCTCCCTCCTCCCTGCTTCCCCCCTCCCACCGCCCTGCTTCCCCCCTCCCTATGCCCTGCTTCCCCCCTCCCTCTGCCCTGCTTCCCCCCTCCCTCCGCCAAGCTTCCCCCCTCCCTTCACCCTGCTTCCCCCCTCCCTTCGCCAGGCTTCTCCCCATCCCCTTCCTTGCTTCCCCCCATCCCGCTCCCTGCTTCCTCCCATCCCCTTCCTTGCTTCCCCCCATCCCGCTCCCTGCTTCTCCCCATCCCCTTCCCTGCTTCCCCCCATCCCCTTCCCTGCTTCTCCCCATCCCCTTCCCTGCTTCCCCCCATCCCCTTCCCTGCTTCCCCCCATCCCGCTCCCTGCTTCCCCCCATCCCGCTCCCTGCTTCCCCCTATCCCGCTCCTTGCTTCCCCCCATCCCCTTCCCTGCTTCCCCCCATCCCCTTCCCTTCTCTACACGGTGCATATCAACACGCACGCGCATGCAGAAGTTCTTCGATGACTGGATCCCCTGGCACTAGTGATGAGCGTCACTCTCTCCCCACTCCCTCCCCCTCTGCTCCCCCTCTTCCTCGTGGCAGGCCACCGAAGCACCGCATCCAGCAGATCTTCGAGTGGATCTGCCCTGAGGCTTGCTGGCGGAGCTGTGAGGCAGCCTCCTCCCGAAACTGTCTTCAGCCTCCCTTGCTGCCCAGCAGGATGCCGCGGAGCATTGATGCGGGAGGGGGCAGACCATGCTGGCAGAAATGATGGCGGCAACGCACGTCAGGTCTGCGCTGCTGTGGGCCGGGGGAGTGCAGAGTGGTGCAGAGACCAGCACGGCATGTCGATATGTGGTCGGCCGAGATCCTCATGAGTTGAGGGATCTGAGCTTGAGAGAGTGCGTTCCCAAAATGTATTGGTAATGCGTTTCTTGATATTTCATTTTTTATTTAATTCACAATTTGCTTGCAATGCTTTTCTGCACCTAATCAGCACTTGAAATGTTGTGTTTTTCTGAAGTGAAGTCTCAAAAGCATCCAGATATTTTAGTAAATTAGAAATTGTTAAAATAGTGTTCAGTGTACTGCCGTACTCTCACTCGCGTGAGTTTCGCGTTACCCACGATTTCAACCCCAAGAGAAGCACCAGCAGCAGTGGTGGGGCTGGAGCAGTGCTCTGTCACACACAGAGTCGTTCGGCCCTCCCATATCCTTGGAAACAGCTGTCGCATAGTATCGTGGCGAAGGCTGTTTGACCCACCTCCTGAATTCGCTTTCGCCCCACACACATTTCCGAAATACACGATATTATTATTTTCGCCAGACTGTTTCAACCCCACATAACTTGAAAATTTACCATGCTGACCTCGGGCTTTAAAGGGGGGGGGTGGGGGGGGGGGGGGGGGGGGACATTTCTTCACGGGGTGAGCTACCGTACGTTTCTGCTTTGTGTCGGCGTGTAGGGTGCTCAAACAAGCACATAACTTTGTTGATTAAGGGTACATTCCTGCGGGGACACTTGTGTCTCAATCCCCGTTTTCCCGAGTCGCGCCTGTAAATTTGCCAAATGTTGTGTCACAAACAACCAATGTACCGCGACCCTGCGCGACAGATGGGCACAGCCAGGTGGGTGCGTACTATTGGTTGCGACCAATAGGATTGTGCCCACCCAGTTTTCCCGCCGGGCAGGGGGGCTAAACATAGCGCACCACCTCGAGTATCGCGGTGGGCTTGCCACATAAATGAAAGTTGCAATTTGGGCCACCCCACACACAACAGCTGTCAGAATATTATCTTATTGTTCTAGCCTGTAGTGGGGTGCTCTATAGCGAGTACAACCCTTCTAGGGTTTGCTATTTGTATCCTCATTCTTGCTAGTTCAATCCTCTTTCTTTCCTTCAAATTTTCACATGCTATCAGAGCAGGTCGATCCCCTTGGATCGATCCTGTGGGTGGGCTTACCACCGCTTAGCTTCCGCTGCTACTACTGCTACTACTCTCTGAGCCGCACGCCCCGTGGCGTGCGGCTTTTTTTTTTTCTTCCCGCCGTGCGCCCCGAGGCGCGCGGCGGTTTTCTGCCCGCCGTGCGCCCCGAGGCGCGCGGCGGTTCTCTGCCCGCTGTGCGCCCCGAGGCGCGCGGCGGGCTTCCGCCCCGTCGACCCACGCGTCGCCCTCGGGAGGCGCTGCGACGGGCGACGGGGACCCGTCGCGGCCCCGCCCTACGTCGCGGCCCCGCCCTATGTCGCGGCCCCGCCCTACGTCGCGGCCCCGCCCCTCGAAGCGGCCCCGCCCTACGTCGCGTCCCCGCCCCGACCGTCGCGGCCCCGCCCCTTGTCGCGGCCCCGCCCTTTGTCGCGGCCCCGCCCTACGTCGCGGCCCCGCCCTACGTCGCGGCCCCGCCCCTCGAAGCGTCCCCGCCCTACGTCGCGGCCCCGCCCCGACCGTCCCGGCCCCGCCCCTTGTCGCGGCCCCGCCCTACGTCGCGGCCCCGCCCTACGTCGCGGCCCCGCCCCTCGAAGCGGCCCCGCCCTACGTCGCGGCCCCGCCCCGCTCGTCGCGGCCCCGCCCCTTGTCGCGGCCCCGCCCTCCAACCAGGCCCGTTGTGGGCCCCTTTCACCACACCGCCTCCCCCCCCCCCCCCCCCCTGCCATTTCCCGTCGTCCGTCGTGGCGACCTGAGGGGGCCGCTTGCTGTGGGGTGGCGGGTATGGGGGTGGCCGGTGTGCCTTCCTCCCTTTCTCCTCCTCCTCCTTCGTCTCCCACTGCTGCAGCTGTCGCTGAGGGGGGTGGTTGTGTGGGAGACTGGGTTTAGGGTTTAAAGGGGGTGCGTGGGAGTGGAGCTAGCGGTGTAGAAGTGGGTGTGTATGAGGGGGGTGGGACTGTGTGCGGGAGGTTGAGCGGAGGTTGCCAGTTTGTCGTCCGCAGCACCTGTAGTCCGGGGCGCTGTCCCGGTAGCCCAGTGAGCTTGTCGCTGAGCCGGTCGCCTGTGGGTCCGTTGCCCGTCTGCCGCTACTTGAGCCGCGGGGCCTGTTACTCCCGTAGTCCGGGGCGCTGTCTCGGTAGCCACTGTGCTCGCCACTCCTGTTGCCCGTGTGTCTGCAGCTTCAGCCGCCGCCTTCTATCTCCTCTCCTCTCACTCTCCCTCCTCCTCCTCACTTGCCCGTTGTGACCACTGCTAGCTTTGCTCATAATTGTGAACTTTGAACTATTTCTTCTTGACCTTGTGCTCAGAATGCGTGGTGACATTGTGATCCACCCTGAGCTTGTACTGTTTTGCCTGCTCTGCTGATTACACCCCACTTTGGCTATGGGGATGTGTCAGAATATTATCTTATTGTTCTAACCTGTAGTGGGGTGCTCTATAGCGAGTACAACCCTTCTAGGGTTTGCTATTTGTATCCTCATTCTTGCTAGTTCAATCCTCTTTCTTTCCTTCAATTTTTCACAACAGCATGTATACAACCACGGCTCCAAGTACAAAAACGCAAGCATCACAGAGCTAAACTGCACCACTGTCTAGCAACCATGGCATCGCCCCGCGAGGTGCCATTCCTCATGCGCCTACTTGTCGCATGGGTTACGTTCTACTACAGCATATTCATGGACGCCATCGCCAAGTCGGTCGGTGGCTTGCTCGAGGCGAACGTCTTCAATGACGAGGTGTCATCGTCAACCAGCTCTCGCGCCTCCAACCGTACCGCAGAGCGGAAACGAAGGGCTGGGCTACGCCGGCAGAGATACCAGTTGCTGCTAGAGGACCTGGACGGCATGGGGGAGGATCAGTTCAGAGATATGGGGCCAGTTACTCCAGTAGTCCGGAGCGTTGTTCCGATAGCCGCTGTGCCAGTGTGACTCCTGTTGCCCGTGTGTCTGCGGCTTCACCCGTCGCCTCCTATCTCCTCTCCTCTTACAGTCCCTCCTCCTCCCTTGCCCGCTGTGACTACCACTAGCTTTGCTCATAATTGTGAGCTTTAAACTATTGCTTCTTGAACTTGTGCTCAGAATGTGTGGTGACATTGTGATCCACCCTGAGCTTGTACTGCTTTGCTTGCTCTGCTGATTACACCTCACTTTGGCTATGGGGGTGTGTCAGAATGTTATCTTTGTTCTCTAGCCTGTAGTGGGGTACTCTATAGCGAGTACAACCCCTTAGGGTTTCCTATATGTATCTTGCTGCTTGCTAGTGCAAACCCTCCTTCTTTCTTCTAAACTTTCACACCCCGAAGATGACGACTCTTCGGGTGCTGCTGCACATAGCCGCTCAGCGCGACTACGAGCTTCACTCTCTTTACTTGAGCACGGCTTTCCTGCAGGGCAGCCTGCACAAGGAGATGTGGCTGCGCCGCCCACCTGGCTTCACTGGGTCGTTTCCTCCTGGTACCCAGTGGAGCCTCTGGCGGCTAGTCTACGGTCTCCGCCAGGCGCCTCGTGAGTGACACGACACACTGAGGACTACACTTGCGGCTCTTGGGTTTGCTCCTTCTACAGCCGACCATTCGCTGTTTTTGCGCACCGACACCTCTTTTCCGCCGTTCTACATCCTCGTGTACGTCGACGACTTGGTCTTTGCCACTGCTGACACTGCTGGACTCGCCCACGTGAAGTCAGAGCTGCAGAAGAGACACACGTGCACAGACCTGGGTGAGCTGCGCAGCTACCTTGGCTTGCAGATCACCCGGGACAGAGCACAGTGCACCATTACCCTGACTCAGTCACACATGGTGCAGCAGGTCCTTCAGCGCTTCGGCTTCACGTACTCCTCGCCTCATGCCACTCCTCTATCTACTCGCCACCCGCTCTCAGCTCTGCCTTCGGATGAGTCCGTAGAGCCGAGTGGCCCGTACCCAGAGCTTGTTGGCTGCCTCATGTACCTGATGACCTGCACACGACCTGACCTTGCATACTCTCTTAGCATCTTGGCACGCTATGTTGCTCCTGGGAGACACCGATTAGAGCACATGGCTGCAGCGAAGAGGGTGTTGCGCTACGTGTGCAGTACGCCGGGCATGGGGCTAGTGCTTGGAGGGCGACGTCGAGTGGTCCTCACAGGTCACGCAGACGCTTCCTGGGTTGACGACCAGGCTACGCAGCGGTCGTCACAGGGTTACACCTTCAGCCTTGGCTCCGGCTCTGTTTCGTGGCGGTCTACCCGCTCGTCTTCTGTTCTCAGCTCTAGCTGTGAGGCTGAGATCTACGCAGGGGCCATGGCTGCACAAGAGCTACGCTGGCTCACCTACTTGCTGACTGACCTAGGAGAGCCGCCTCGTTCTCCTCCAGTTCTGTACGTAGACAACAAGGCCATGCTGGCCTTGTGTCGGGAGCACAGACTGGAGCACAGAACGAAGCACATTGCTCTCCGCTACTTCCTGGCTCGTGAGCTGCAGTAGCGTGGTCAGCTCCGCCTCACCTACGTGGCCTCTGAGGCCAACACTGCTGATATCTTCACCAAGGCCCTTCCGCCTTGTGATCATCAGCGCTTCTGTACTTTGCTAGGTCTTGTGCCTACCTGGCCTCACTTGCTCACTTCTTGATCTTGTTTGTACTGTATTCTCTCTATACTTGCACTTGCTTGTTTACCTTTATATATACGACCTTGCATGTGAACTGGCCTTGTGGCCTTACTCTTGTGCTTGGACTGTGTGGTGACTTTGTGATCCACCCTGAGCTTGCTTTGCTTTGCTTGACTGGTCTTGTGACCACTTGTTCTCCCCCACTTTGCCTATGGGGGTGTGTCAGAACATTATAGCTTATACATTTGTGTAGGCTGTAGTGGGGTAGCCCATAAGGGGTACAACCCAATTAGGGTTAGTATTTGTACCCAACTCTTTCATAGTTCATCCATTCTTTCATTCTAACTTTCACACCCGGTTCTAATT